ACGATTGAAGAGCAGGTTGGGAGGTGACCGAAAAGGGGGGTAGCGAGACGATTGAAGGGTAGGCTGGAAGTTGGCCGAAGACGGAGGGGAGGGGGATAGTGACGAAGTGAGAAGCGGAGGTGAAAAATTGCCTTCCTCTCCCCGGGAGACCGTCCTGGATCCACCTGTAGTTGTGAGGACTAAGGGGATAGTGCACCAAGCGGTAAATGTAAGTGGAAGAGGTGCAAAGACCAGGAATGTTCGTTTACGGCGCACTAAGTCGTGACAAAGAACAGTGGACTGGAATATTGACTGGAAAAGAGCTGAGATATTGCCTGTGAGGAAGGAACTGGAAACAGAACTGTTATCTATGACAGGGAAGGGGGAGAAGAGAATGAAATGGCTCCTCCTTCCTTTTGTTTTTCCTTTTAAACACTGCGACCGTCATACTGACGAGGCCCTATTGCGGTGTTGAGCTGAGGCGTATATGACATAGTGGACTGAAACGTCTTATTAGAGGTTAAAAGAAAATACAGAAGAAGGAAAAACAATGAAAAGAAAAGGATATTAGGTAAGGGGTGTATAAAAAAAAATTTTTTTTTATAGTTTTATTATAGGTAAGAAATGTTTCGGTCCATTATCTCATTCTTATTATCTCCTTCTCTCATATTGTTATCTGTCGCACCTCCACCAATTTGGTTTCCAGAGTCAACCTGACTGCTGAAATCTGCTTATATGGATTTATGATTGTAAGCAAGAAACTAGATGTTAAGAGAACATTAATAAACTTGCTTGAGCTCCAAAATCTCATATCCTTGCATTCCATAGCCTCACCGGGAAAGAAAAACCCCGCACCAGACCACAATTATGCTTTTCGTAGCTCGTGCCCAAGCCCACAAAAGAGCGCAGTTTGTGTAGCGGAACCAGAGGTGGACGAGGGCGGAGGGGATGGCGTTCGAGGATAGTGGTTGAGGTCTCCGGGGCGGATATGGAGGGGAGGGAGCGGAGTTATTGACCGAAAAGGAGCTAAAACCTTGCTTGGAGGTAAGAACCTGAAACAGGGATGATGGGGTTTATGTGAGAGGAAGGGGTAATTTTTTGCTCAGCAAGAAACCTGATGTTAGGAAGAAATCAGCAATCTTAAATGTGACACTTACAATCTCAGCTAGACAAAAACGGCCAGTACAGAGTCTTTCGCAACTTGAACCTGAACTTGGAGAAAAAGGTGGATATCGTGCAGCCGATCCGAGCCGAGCTTTAGTAATTGCCGCAAATATAGGCAACTAGTAAACAGCGCGTGAAAGTTTTGGTGGGAAATTCATTAATTTAGGAACCAGAAATGCGAGAAAGCTGAAATTTCGTTCCCCCGTCCACATAGGACTCAAAGATTTCAAATTCAGCAACTTTAGTTGGACTTT